AGCACCCTCTCCCACCCATCTTCACAGGGGAGAAAACACCAGAGAGAGCAGAGTTGTTAAGATCACCCAATGAGGGTGTGACGTTGGCAGCTGTGTGCTGCCTCTGCATTCTTAGTAAGATCAAGGTAGAATTCTCCCTTCTGTTTGCCACCTCAAGAGTGAAGTGCCTCTCTCCTCTGCCACAGAACCAGATGACATGTTCAGGATGTGAAGTCCTGTAGAACAGCTTTGAGTTCATAAACATTTCTTGTTCGTCAATATGCAATGAAAGACTGAAGCTTCCACTGCTCCCAAAATAGCTTTGGATGCCAGCAGAGGCATTTTCAAGAACAGACTTTTTAGCCTTTCAAGAATTCTGTGAAAGCAGAGAATCTTCTAGTTTATATGCCTACCCACGAGAGCGCCTTGATCCTGGTCAACAGCGGGGTCTAAACCTGGCAACATCCTGAGCCCCAGTCCTGGTCCATACTCAGCCCTGATCCTGCTCACAGACTGAGGACATAGCTATCTAATCTCTACATAAAGGGTGACTGCTGTCGTTTATTGTAAATATGCCTTATTCACTCTCATTTCAGTTTATTTGGACACAGATTATTCTGACCATATAATTCCCTGACCCTCCTAATTAAAGGGGATTTCTTGCTTGTAGTGTCTACTCTAAAATTACTCTAAACAAGTCAGTCCCTACCCTTTGCCAGTGATTGGCTCAGAGGTGGAGAATCCTAACACCTAAGGAGAAGTCGGTTCTGGAAAGAGAATCCAGACTCTGTAGACTACTTATTGTTACTAGGGAGCATGTTATCCCAGCCACTGCTGAAACTGTCTGATCGTACCCAGGGACGTCAGCCTTGGGCTGAAACCCTGTTACAGAGGGGGGCAGAGGAGAGAGACAGAAAGAACCTGAATTAACCAGACCTACTTTTTGCTTGTGAGGTGATGCACTTAACAGTTTCAAATGCTTTGAGACGGGAATTTATTATCTGCAGTTGGATATGTCTGGGATCCCTTCCCTGGCTTCACCCTGCCTTGGAGGTGCATACCCTGTCCCCTTGGGAAGAAGCTGTTTTGCTGGGCTGGGGAGATCAGCTAAGCACGCACTCCTAAGCATAGCAGCGTTGCTTTTCCAGGCAGGAGTTCTCCAGCTTCAGTGAGACAAGCCCAGACGCAGATAATTACATGAGATGCCACTGGAAGAGCTGTCGTTAATTTTGATGGCAATAAAGGGCCTTGCCAGCATGTTAAGCTAATTTCATGAAAGCTCTGGGAGGAAGGTCGTGGACTGGATCCCAGATTATTAATAATGTCGAGCTTCATTTGAACCATTCAGGAAATTCCTCGCTATTGCCTCCAGCAAACTGCCACAGGTTGCCACTTTCCTCTGAAATCAACAGTCTTCCCAGATGCAAATGTGGAGTTTTTGTTTTTCCCTAGAAAATAATTAAAGTCATAGAGTCCATAAATACTTAAACAGACGGTGGCTTTAATTAAAAACTTCCACCAAGGCTGCAGCTGCAGGTCTGTCTTCCTAAATAGGCTTACTTCGACAGTAGAATGTGGGTTTAAGTATATGACGCTAGAAAACTTTACGAATAATAATAGTAGTTTCCTGATCATGACTTAAACCATGTTGGGGGGGTGGAGAGGGGTAGTGACAAAAAACAGTGGGGCAGGGCTAAGGGGAGGTGGGGAAGACACAAGATTGCTCCGGCCTCTGCAGCAGACCTCCCCTCAAACCTGTGTGACCTTGGCCAAGTTACTTAACTTCTCTGTTCTGTAGGGGAGAAAAGGTATGAATTAGAACATACAATGGCTACAATTAGCTCTTATTATTGTCTTGCACTCTGGGACACTGGCAGGCGTCCAGGACTGCAGAATTAAGGACTGCTCCAGCTCTGGGCAGCGCTCCCGGCTTCCGGCCAGTCCCCGCTGGTCACTGCCCACGGCCTCTGCACCGGCAGGTAGTGCCCAGCAGGGGGAGCGCACGGGCCAGACCTGGGGCCGACGCCAAGCACAGCAGAGGCAGGGGAATTAGTCCCCGGATTCCCCGGGTTTCTAACTGTTCCATACTCCGGACCTTTGGGATGAGTGAGGTCAGAATTAGAGGTCGATCCGCAAGAGTGCTGTCTGGTCTTTGAGATCTCTGCCCCTGGGTCTACCTAGAGTCGAGACCTCAGCGCTGGTCAAAAATCCTTACCCAGATTCTAGATGTGGATTCCGAATCTGGGCTCTCGGCGCTGACATGTTGGTACCTTGAATCTTTTCTGTCTCCATGTCTACTTCCACGCACCTGATGAGGTGCCTGTTTCTTTAATGATCAAAGACGCGGGCGGCGGGTGTGGTGTCTTCGCATCCCCAGCCCTTCAGTAACTGCACCGTTATTACTTAGGCGTTAGAGACATTAGACCCGCTCCTGCGCGTAGGGCGGCGCTGAGCGAGCACGCACGCAGTGTTCTAACTGAGCTTGGAGGCTGAACTCCGAGTCGTGCTTCCGACCCCAGACGTCGGCCGATGCCCGTTGTGGCTCGGGCTCCAGCCCTTGCCAGAGCGGACTCTCCAGGGTGGAAGGCGGGGGTAAGGGCTGGCTTTCCCCGGGCAGACACGCGAAACAAAAGCGGTGGGTGGGGGTGGGATGTGGGGGACGGATTGGGGGGATAGCCCAAGGGGCCCGCGGGAGTCAGCGTCCTAGTCTGGCTTGGCCACCATGCTCGCGGCTGCCCACACGCTGCAGCCCTCTTTCCGAATCCTTGGAAAGAGAACAAGGGAAAGGGGGTCTGTCCTCGACTCCGGGACCCTGGAGGTTTCTGGGGCGCTGGCGGGGCTAGTCCCTGAGATCTAGGGAAGCTCTCCCGCCGTGAGCAAACGCGCAGAACCCGTGCGCCGTGGCATCCCCCAGCCTCTCCTTCCAACTCTTCACTCTTCCCGGTACCCCGCCGGGCAGCCCGCCTCTTCGTCCTCGGAACCCGAAAAGAGGTGACAACTGGGTGGAAGGTCCACGAGCAGTGCGTCTCCACGCGGGAGCCTAGGGCCCTGCCTCTAAGCCACACGCCCCTCCCATGCCCGGGAAAGTCCTCGGCCGCGCCATCAGGGACCGATTGCCCTTCCCCGCTGCTGAGCCTCGGCTTCCCCAAACTCCTATTCCAGAGATTTGGATCTCCGAACCGTCCCCGCGGGTTCCCTAGACGCGACATTACTCCCAGAAAGCCCCACACCCCTTGCTCTGCAGACAAAGAGGCTCTGCCCGGCGGGCCTGCCGCGCCCCCCGGCCCTCCCCCCCTCCCAGGGACTTGGCCACGGTTCCGGCCGCGAACGCTCACATTGCC